CAGTGGCCGAAAGTCAAAGCTTGATGATAGGGATAGACGTGTCTTGCAGCGCGTAGTAGCTCGAAAACACAAGCAATCGTTATCCGAGATAACATCAGACATGAACAGTCATCTTCAGGACCCCGTTTCAACAAGAACTGTTCAAAGAGAACTTCATGCAGCGAACATTTATGGGAGAGTGGCAATTCGTAAACCCTTGGTGACAGCAACCAATGCTCTCAAGCGCCGTCAGTGGTATAGAGATCACGAAGGCTGGTCCTCACAGCTGTGGCAGCAGGTAATATGGTACAATGAATCATCCTTCACCTTATTTCAGACCACCAGACGCATTTATGTCTGGAGATCACCCAAAGAAGCGTTTGATCCTGAATGCCTCTTACCAACTGTGAAACATGGAGGTGGCTCCATTATGGTTTGGGGTGCGATATCTTGGTGTGGTCTTGGGCCACTAGTACGTCTGCATGGGAGAATCAAATCTAATGACTATCTAAGCGTTCTAGCGGATCATGTTCATCCTTTTGTACAGACTGTATTCCCTGGAGGGCGACCGATTTTTCAAGACCGCAATGCCCCTACTCACACCTCTAGGTGCGTTCAAACATGTTTCGAAAAGCATGACAATGAAGTTGAGCATCTCCCCTGGCCCGCTCAGTCTCCGGACTTAAATATTATTGAACATTTGTGGCAATATTTGGAGTCTAAATTTCGTTCCTGATTCCCACCTCCATCAAATCTTTTGGAGGCCGCTTTGCAAGAGGAATGGCTTGATATTCCTTTAAACGTTGTGCATGGCCTTTATTCATCGATCCCACGTCTTATTAAATATGTAATTCAGTCAAAGGGTGGTCCAACTCCCTATTAATAAAAATTTTCTGATATTTCACAGGTGTTCCTATTATTTTGTCACCCATCTGTATATATATATATGTTATATTATATATATATTATTATATTATGTATATTATTAATTTTTTCCTTTACAAAATCCTATTAAAAAAAGAAACAAGACTCAGAATGGTATGTTATTAAGCCTGTAAAAAATATATTTTAAAGAGAAACGATATTGTAGAGTAGAGCGTAAATTAATTTTACTCAACACTCCTTTTCAGACAAAATATTGTTAGGGATTTGGCAACTTATTTCAATGCATGTCGTATGTTATAAATTTAGATGTAGGTTATAAGTTAAATATTACAGCAAAACATTATTAGGGATCTGGCAACTTCCTTCTGTACGTCATTTGTTATAAATATAGATGGAGATTTTAAGTTAAATAAAGTCAAAACATTAAATTATATGGCAACTTAATATGAAACTTATTTCAATGTATGTCATTTGTTATAAATATAGATGGAGATAAGTTAAATATTGAGGCAAAACGTTATTAGGGATAGGGCAACTTATATCAATGCATGTTGTATGTTATAAATTTGATCGAGATTATAAGTTAAATATTGATATGGCAAAAAGTTAAACCAAAATTAAAAATTAAAGCTCCTCAATTTTGAGACCAACGGCATTAATCACATTAGAGTAAAGTTAGTTAGCATTGTGCATGGGCACCTTTTCTTCCCAGGCAGCTGGTACCCTGTGAACTCAAGCTGAATGGGCTACAAGCAAATAGCCACGATCGATGAAACTTGAATTTGTCATAGGGGTGGGTCAAAGCCTTAACCAGTGCCCCGTGGCAGAATCGCGGCGACATTGTCGCAGACAGTTACAGAGTTTTTGCAGAAATATTTTTCTTTTGAAAAGTAAAGAAAAAAAAATTACCTTTATTTATTTTTTGACAGAAATTCACCTGTTATATTTGAATCATGCATTTAGATAATAACTTTTTGACGTGCTCGATATATGCCGATAGTATTGTAAATTGATGTAATGCTTTGATTGTACTTTCGTCAGTTATTGACATTGATTTTCATGTGGAATTTAAATATCCCAATAAACAACATGAAAAATTCGAATTGTGCAATTTCAAACAATATGGAAAGACAACAGCCTGATCAAGAAACGAAAAACACATTTGAGGTGTTCGATTCGCGTGATTTTGTCAATCTTTTTTTTCCGGGAAGTACTATTACAGATTTAAGGATTTTTATTATTATTTTTTATTGTGATGATTAGTTCGTTACAAAAGGCGAAGGAAATAATTTCTGCTTCCCACCCCTCTGAACAAAATGCTAGAATGTCACCTATAACATTAGGATAAAAATTACATGTTCAATTAAAATAAAAATTATATATAATTTTTTTTGTAAACACAGCGCTTTTGTTATTTAAAATTAGTTACATGCATGTTTATTATTATTAAAAGTATCTTGCAGAAAGATATTAGTGCCAGAGAGTTTTGTCAGAGATAGCTCGAAAAAATTCTGACACAGGGAACCAGTGTGCCACAGTGGTTCGTTGTTATTTTTATAATGGCAAAACATTGGCATTTGATTGCTTGAATTTTTCCCAATTCAAAATAAGTCTAGTAAAATTGAATCTGAAATTCAGTACTTGAGAAATTTCAAAAATGTAAAGAAAAAGCTTTGTTTAACTTTTGAAGATATATTTCAAAGGAAAATAATGTTCATGTTTTTTACACTGTTAAATAAAGCTACAAATAAAACATTTGAGGTTTGACTCTATGAAATTAAAAAATTCTTCTGAAGAGGCAAAAGCTCTTCATTGATACACTGTATTTAGTAAGTCAGAAATAAAAAGATTGTCAATTTAAAATTATGGACTAAAATGATGCTTATCATTGTTAAAAAAATTAATATTAAAAGATTCTTATTGCTTATTTTTCAGATGGGAATATGTTTACACAAAGCATACAAAAGTTTGTGTCAATAATTTTCATAGTTAGTGCTGATTTAGAATATGATTTTCTTTAAAAAAAATTATAATACCATTACAAGAAAACTGCCTGAAGTAAAAAAAAAAAGAAACTTTAGAAGTTCTTTTAATTCTTTTGATTTTCTGTTTTGTTGCATTGTTTATTACAATTAAATGTATTTTTTATGATTTTCATATTAACAAAACTTAAAATTAGTAGAAATAAATTTTTATAAGTACTTCAAAGTTTGGTTTCAGCTACATTCAAATTTCTTAAGCAAAAAGGCTATATATATATATATANTTCAAGAAGCCTGTTTACGTTCCATTTTCATTTGTTACAAATTTTAAAATTTTACCCATGAATCCAGTAAAATTGGTGAATCAGATATCTATTATCACTTAGTGAATTTATTATTATAATAAATTCACTAAGCTTAATGCTTAAAAATTGTAAAGAAAAATAGAAAATTAAAATTATAGCCAAAGCTTGATAGCAGATCTGTTCAACCTAGCCATTAGAATATAATTTGTTCCTGTTAATTTTTATATTGACTGTAATGTAACAGAATTAAAAGAATAAATACATAAATAAAAATTGCAAAAAAAAAAAGAAAGAAAGAAATTTGTATTTTAAATATTTGATGTTTCTAGATTAAAGTAATTATTTTTATGTTATTTATGTTTATGCAGTAAACTTTACTTTAAAGTTAACATTTTCCAGAATTTTCTTTAGAATTAAAAAAGAAAGATCAAAAATATATTTCTATGCTTTAATGTAATATAATGTGAGACATAATGTTGAAAACATAAATAGGTATTTACCTTTTTTTGTATAAATAAAGATCAGTATAAAGAATTAGATTTACCTCATCAATCATAAATTTTTTATTATGTAAGTTATTAGGGATTGTATTGCAGTACATAAACTAAACTGTTACCTATTTCCAATACACACATAACAGTTTTCATTCCCCTGTAAACAATGATTTTATTTAATGATATCATTATCAGGGGTTTATCCTGGTGGAAATTGTGGCATTTTTTTTTATCCCTTTCTCAAGAATCAAATTCATAAAAACTACTTTATGAAATTCAAATTTATAAAAACCATACACTCACAAAATTAATTTTGTAAAAAGGGTTCTTCCACAAAGTTTCATATTATAAAAGTATTAATATTTTTAGTAATTTATCAAATTACTGCTGATCATATTATTTTTCTTATTTTTAAGAACTTTTTTATGTTAATCATGAAATATAATGAATGCTAAAATAAAATGTTTTACATGGGGAATACTGTTGAAGGGAATCCAGGGAATACTGTTGAAGGATCGGTTTAGGCCAGATCCTCCATTCTGTTTTCAAAAAGTCTTTTAAAAATCTCTTCAATTCCTTTGTTTTTTTTCTTTTAATGGTATCAAAGTTGAAATTTCTCGGGAAAAATTTAATTCTTAAATCATCATGAACTGGACAGACAGTAAGTATGTGTTCAATATCTTCATAAGCTTAACAAACTTTGCAGTTCGGGTCTTTCCTGAACAATTTTGACTGATGAGTAAATTTTGAGTAAAGAGTTTGAGTAAATTTTTCGATTACTGACTTTTGGGTTAAATTGGTAAGTGTGTCGGCCCTTTGTATCATCACTATCCCATCTTTGCTGTGATGTTAAAAGGTTACTCTTCATAAGCTCTGTTCTTGTCTGTTTTGATGGTATGTCATATAGATCTATTGTTGATTTTTGACAAGCTAATTTGGCCTGTCTATCAGCTTCCTTATTGCCCGCATATCCAGTGGAATTTAATAATATTTTTGTAAGTATTTTTTAAACAATTTTAATAAACTTATATTTTCTCTTTTAGGGTATGATCACTTGATGTCACACATTACGGCTTATTTTAAAATTGTTGTATATTTCTCATATTCGCTTTCCAAATTTGTAAATTATGTAAACATTTTTATTGTCTGAAAATTGTAAAAATAAACAGAGTTTTGTTAGCACTTCTGCTTTATTGAATGATATTAAAATTAAGAATAGTATAAAAATTCATTAGATTATTTAACAATAATTTATCGTACATACTTTTTAAAATGTAATATTTAATTACATAGCTCTTTTACCATTAATTTCCTTTAAATAAGTGAAATACTTTTCTCTGTTATTGAATTCTCTAGAAGGAATTTTCTTTGAATAAGTTAAATAATTATTTTCAGTAAGAATTCAGTCTCCCATTTCAATTTGTTTAATGCAAGACACTCCCTAAACTTGTTTAATATCTTCAAAAAGGTGACTTTTCTTATTATCAAGTTTTTCCTCCGAATTCATTTGTTATAAAGCTACAAGATTTTGTCTTGCACTTAAAAAATATTATTTAACAAATTAAAATTATTTAATATGGTATCCAATTTACTTTGATTTTTTTTAAGTCTGCTTTTTCCAAGGTTCAGATTTTTTAATATTATTTCACCTTTTCTAATAATAGAAATCATGGTAATAGTTTTGTTGTCATAAATTTCTAACAAGACAAATTTTTTTTGTCTACTTTTCTCTTTTACAAAATGTATGACTTTTGTTTCACTTTCAACTTAACAATCGATAATCCTTTACATAACCAACATGCAACAGTTGGAAATTTTTTTTCAATCATGTCATCAATTTCTTTATCTATGAGCTCCTTAACTTTGAATAGATTTGCCATATTAGATATTTTAGAAAGAATAAGGATTTTTTTTTTATACCACTCTAATCTCGAAGCTGTTACTGACACTTCCTTTTCTTTTTTTTAATCTTGTAAAAAAAAATTTCTATTATTCTTACAAAATTTGTTTCACAAATACTTTATCATAATGTTTGCTTTTTAAGAAAATGCATAATAATTAATGTTAATAATAGCCCGAGGTAGAAATTTTTTACAATTTCTCCGATTTAGTTATAATTTTTTTAAACCATTTTCAAAGAAAGGCAATTTAAATATTTAAAGCAAAAGCAAGAAAATTTATTTGACTTGACACTAACTTCTTTAACTTAATACTTTTGAGTATTTTTCAATTGAAATAATTTTTGCTTTGACTCACTGGTTTAACAACAGAAAGAATATTAAATTCATTTTGTTTTCATGAATACATATTTCTCACCACTGCAATAATAATTCTACTTTTAAATTTCTGGCAGTTAGTTTATTTTATGTATAAATACTTTTAAATTATAATTTACTTTGAAGTTGTGATGGAATGCATAGTTACAGTCGCTCGATTTAATAGTTGATCACCGGGACCCTTTTAAAATTTTTCACAAAACTGAAATCGACCCCATCAAAAGTTGTGTGTCGTGATGGTTGGCTTAAAGCAAAGGTGAGTTTTAGAAGAATAGGGGAATTTTGTGGATTTTCAAAGAATGTGTCTAGACACATGAGCAATCCAAGGTTGGCTAAAATAAAAGAAAAGACTGGAGTTTTAAGTAGAATCAGGGTTCTAAACTGTTCAGTTTCATTTATAATCGTGAGGCTCATGCTGAGTAATGTCTACAGAATTTTTCAAAATTATTGATTGTATTTTATTGAATCTATTGTATTGAATGTATTGCAAATTTGATTGTAAATAAATACCCCTCTTACTGCGGGGAAATTTTATTATAACTTTGAAATGTCCCATTTTTGAGTCTTATTGTTCTGCCAAGCTTGGGCTGCTCATGATGGGGACTTGAAAAGCCCACAGAATGTCCTTATTCTTCAAAAGCACAAGTGTTTTGCTTCGTTTTAGCCAACTTTGGATTGCTCATGTCCACAGAATTCTTCTAAAACTTTTGTCCACCCTACTTCAAATTTAGTTCAGAAAAAGTTAAATAAATCTGTATTCTTTTAATTTTTTTTTCACCTGCCTACTCTAAATCAAGTTTTAATTTTAATTCTAGAATAAAAATGAATCTTGTTTTCACCTTCTTAGTATTGCTAACATAATTAAATTACTTTTTTTACTGCTACAATTTACTAGCTCAGATATGATTTTGCATACATTGAAATAATTATTCAGTACCAACATGTTAAAAAGATGCGTTTACATTTCTTCTTTTTGACAGTTTAACTCTAAAAAAAAAAAAATTTAATGGATCTGAATGAGATTTTTAAATTTATAATTAAATTACCTTTTTTTCTGTTACATTTCACTCATTCAAATATGGTTCTATGTATATTGAAATAATTCAGTTCTAACATGTTAAAACGATCCTTTTCAAGTTGTTCTTTTTCAGCTTCAAAAATGAGTTTTTTGAATGAAGAAAAAAATACGAATATTAAAATGAAAAGCAGGTGCATGACACACATGCTTTTCATTCAGAGTGGTGGTTGAGTGGCAAAAAAAAAAAAAACTAATCACCCTGCGTAACCTTTGGTCTTATGTTCAGATTTTCTAGTACTAAGACTATCTCAATGGTTTGAGGTGGTGCTCTCATATGCTAATTAGTGGCCACGCTATTTTAAGTTATCAAATCAGACACAAAAACATGCTTCCTCTGAATAAAACTACTTTTTCTTTATGGATTTCGATTTCTGATCTTATAAACAATGGGGGTAGTCGAAATGCGAATAATATGGTCTGATTTGTCTGGTCAGGAGAGCAGTCGAAGGTTTGGACCTCTTAATGTTAATTTTACTTTCTGCTATATTTTGTGAATTTTTAAAGCAAATTGAACATTTTTTTCACAACTATGAAATACGTTTATCCAAAGATAACTGCATGCAAAAAATGATTTTTAATTATCATTATTTTTATTTTATATTGGTCGAGAATTTTTGAATTGCAAACTGTGCAAAATTTTACATCATTTTAAAGAGTGTAATTTTATCATGCGAAATACAAAATTTGAAAGAAATCGGTGAAATAGTTACTGAGGAATTTTAAAAAAGTCAAATATTTAAAGTTCAATTTTTTTAGGAACCTTATTTCCTTTAAATTTTGTATTTAGCCTTAAAATAATTACACTCTTATGCAAATCTTAGATGATTAAAAAAAATATTTCTTGCATGGAATTATCCTTGGATTAATAAATTTTTTAATTGTGTGCAAAAAATTTTCAATTTGTTTAAAAAGTCCTTAAAATATGGCAAAATTCCTTTTTTTTTTACACTGTAAATTTGGTATATATTCCTTCTTAGGGATGTCGAGGATCGAACCCCAGCCTCTCTGGTCCGAAGTCCAATTTTCTAACCATGTCCTCCCACATTCATAAAATATTGGAGCGTCCTGTCCTAGTTATGTTCCAAATTTTTTTTTTCATTCAGATTTAAATGTTCAGATAATTTTTTAGAATTAAAATTCTCTCTGAATGGAATATATGAACTTGACTGGGCTTCCATTTTTCTTGAACTATATGTAAATAGAGGTTATAGAAACACCTAGTATAAATCAGAAGTATTATTGATTGAGGATGTTTTTCGTAGGTTTTGGGTTCAAATATGTGCCACAATAGAATTTCTACGCAATCTAGAAATTTTTTAGTGTTTCTCGGTAACTCCAATCTTTTATTTACTGTTGAGATGTTCATAAGCAGTTTCTAGGTTAGAAAGATAATTCTAGATCATCCAATCGATTCAAGAAGAAACAGGCAGGTAAGAGATATCATTAATCATTATAATATTTATTCAATTATAAAGAAACATACAGAGATGAATTTTAAAGTTAAGATTCATTCAATAAAAAATAAGAGACTTTAAAAAGTTTATGTACAAGAGAGAAAAAAAAAGAATTCATTTCTATAAATAGCATTTAATGACATTAAGATAATTAATTGCTGTAAAACTAGTCCATGATATTGAAAAAGTTAATTTTTTTTCTACATAGGGAGACTATCTCTTTGATTTTATGTTTGCCAGTTGGTTGTTGATTTCTGTATTTTTACAAGTCATCTTTACTTTGTTTTATACAATGTTTATTTGTTTAGTTTAGAACAATACTTAAAATGATAATCAAGACTAACAATCATTCAAAAAGAAAATATATAGGCAATTTTGTGCTTTTGTAGCAAGTAAATCTGACCGGATAAACTTGGAATTAACTTATGATAGTAATATCCAATATTTACCCATTTACAAAAATGTCCTGTAGTAAGGAGTTAAATGTACAGACATCAATCTTTGGCAGGATAATCAAATAATAACAAAGTATATTTCCTGTTCTATGGTGACGGTACCAAGAGTTTGACAAATGTACAAATAGATGTGTTTTGTTCCTCAATGATGCTATCATGAAGTGGTATGTATGACTTTTTTTGCTCAGCGACACTTAAATAGCCATGACAATGACAAAAATTCCTACTTGCACATCACTCTAAGCATGCACAAAAAGAGACATAACCAGTCTTAATTTAGTCCTGTACCTTACACAAAAATAATTTATTTTAAGCTTAGTTTAAATCATTAAAAATAAAACATTGTTTTATAAGCATTAATCTTGTCTTAAATCTTATCTGACTGTATTTCTATTTATTAACATTTAAATTATATTTCAAAACCTTAATTTATAAACTTGCAATCTAGTAGAAAACACCATAGAAGTTAATAGTTGAATTTAAGAAGAAAAAAAAAAGGGAATGCTTATACTAAATGATTATATTATGTGGCCTTAAAAAGTTTATAAGTGCTATTAATATTTTTACAAATCATGAATTTATGCATTATTTATGTCCATCATTATTCATGCTTCTTCGCATTAATTCTTCTTTTCTAATAGGAGCCTAAAAAATAAATAAAAATAGTTATTTATACTGGAAAATTGATATACTGGAATCTCTTTTAAAACTCATGAATTATCTAAGGGGGAAAAACAATTCATTCCTAGGTGTTTATACTTACATTAGGATCACTTTGTGTTGCATGTTCAAATCGCATTCCTTCTGCCCTTTCATATTCCCGAATTGCCTTTACTTTTTGATAGAAAGCACTCTAAAAAATAAATTTAGCATTCAAATACTGGATTTAGAGTTTATAAAATACATGTTTAACATTTGCCAGATTTGAGGCTTTAAAAAAAAAAAAATTTTATTAAACGACAGGTGTAAAGGACACAAAACCTCAATTTTGTCTAAAAAGTTAAAGAAAATTTATGTTTGGTATTGATATTTTTAATTATATAACAATTATACTGGCAATTTTGTCTTCGTACAAAAGTTATTCTTATATATGTCTCAACCAAGATATCTCAATTTTTTTTAAACAATTTCTGAAAGTTTGGTATAGTTTTACACAGGCTACGGAAATAATCATTACAAAATATTCTTTTGTGGTTTCAGTGCATTAAAATTTTTTTTTTATCTTGTGTTATTTACATTCCTGTTGAACAATGGTAGATAAAAAATATATGAAACAAAAGGGATAATTTTTTTTTTAATATCTGTTTACATTGTAACACTTTTGTTTAATTTTGAAATGCAACAATTTTAAGAAATTTCAAATTATAAATCAAACTTTAAATAATTTCTGAAATTTTAAGTTTAAAGGTCTTGCATTCCCTAAAGAAACTAAATTAAGGGTAAAATCTCAGTACATCAGGTTTATAGATGATTACAACAGCAGGTTTAACGGCTTAGCGGTTAGCTTGTCTGACTGCGGGTTCAAATTCCGTTCTGGGCATGGATATTTCTCTCTGTGTTATCCTTTGTTGTGTGTCAATGTGGCCCACCCTATGAACGGGTATTTGTGGCGTGGGTAATGTTGCTCTCCTCTGTGACTTAGGTTCACAGGTGCACACTGGGTAACGTTGAATGAGCAACACTTCCAAGGTGAAGAACGAAAGTTCAGTACCTGCCATTAGAAAAACGGAAAAAAAACAGCAGGTGTTGCACCTTCAGAAAAACTTTCAGGCTATTGTATCTGTTTGTGATGTTTACCATTTTTCAAGTGTATGTTTACTGTTATTAATCTGTTGTTTACTACTTGAGCTAGCATTCAATTCAAGAGATTTTTTTTTTAGGTGTAGGTGTCAAAGAATTAAAATAATAAATATTTTGGTAATGCAATGTATAAATTTTCCTCCAATTTTAGAAATGCCACTAAGTAATTGTTTAAAAAACACCTGTTAGCTAAAACAACACGCGTGAGACAAGACTTACTTAGAAAGCAATAGCAAAACATTCCAAAAGCAAAAAGATAGCCAAAGAAGTGATTTATTTGAAAATTAGATAACCATGCCTTTAAATTATTCTAAGCTATATATATTATCGCAATATTTACTAGAATAAACATCTTATGTTAAAAAATTTAATTTGGTACTCTTATGTACTTCTATGTTTCGATAAAAACAAAATCAAGAGTTCGAAAATATTGCCTTGAAGAATAAGAAACAATAGTCTAGTACTAATTTCTCTTGACATTTTTTTATGCTTACTTCTTTATTCAAATAACCATCTATGTGATTATTGGATTATGCTTTTTTCTCAAGGAGACTTTGATAATATTATATTAGTCAGGGCTCTGTTCACTTCAGTAGCAGTTTCGACAGATTTCGAGCTGTTGTGTAAAGATGTTCATAGTGAAATTTTGTATATATAAATAGCATTTAATGACATTAAGATNCAAATTTTCATGCGCGTTATACGAAGAGTATATCTAAAAATTTAAAAAAAGTTATTAGAAATTACGGGTGCGCGTTATACGCCGGGGCGCGTCATGCGCCGGAATATACGGTATGTATTTTATAATGGCAGAATAAGAAATATTTTGGGGTACTTTTTTTTTTTAAAAAAAAAAAACCTTTCTAACAGAGAGCCTGTCTGAACTGGTACAGGCAACAATATTCCAAGTTACTAGCACTATGGATCTATGTTTTTTTTTACTGATAGTAAAGTTAAAAAATACAATGACATTAACAAAAAATTGGCATTAAAAAACCGAGCAACAAGCCGTTTTTTATTAAGCAATAAAAACCTGCATGGACTCACAAGTCATGTTTTGATGAGAGGGCTAAATAAGTATTGCTACCTAAGCGGAGATGCAAACTGCTCCGGACACACCAAAATAATTTTAAAAAATGGTAAATAACTGCAAAGTAAATTTTGCAAGTATTGGATTATTTTTGCTTGCTTTTTAAATGGCATAGCATTGACGAAATAATATGAAGTGGTGAATTATATAAGCGTACGAATTATCTAGAAATAGTGGTGGATAAAAATCTACTAAATTGAATTTAGTAAACCAAGAATCACAATTAATAAACTACCACTTTAAGAAATAAAATTGCTGTCCGGAGCAAGTAGGCATCTCTGCCTAAGACATGATCACAGTGATCAATGAGATCAAACATGAAGTAATAGTATAGAAATTAATGATTTTATGTTCAAAAACTATAATATTTAACTTAAACCTATTTAAGCAGATGACTAGTCAAGCAAAGTATTTTAATTAACTTTAAATTGAAATGAACCTAACAAAAGTCAATAGGTCTAATAGTCAAGTAATTATTATACACTTTTTACAATGCAATATCAATGCTCTCAAGACATGTGAAGCATAGTGGCTTGTATTTTTCCCTGAATTGAATGAGGCCAAATATGAGTCAATAGGACTAAGACTTTTAGTTCCATCAGGGTGCGTAGCCAAATTATTCAACAAAAAATAAGCACCCAAATAATATTTTTAAGCACTGTAAAAAAATCACAATTAGATAGGATAGTTTTTGACAATTGACAGTTTTATCTAGTTTTCACCGTTATGTCAAAAAAAAAAAACTTGGCATTGTTTTTGACAATTGTCAAAATTTTTGAATCGTGTTAATCGAATGGCGTTTTAATACGCTACGGACTGATGATACCCCAAAATAGATTGGTGTTGAATTAATTGTGAAAACCTTGAATAGACAATGTGAACAGTGTCTTTCTGCATAATTGGTAGCGAAAATCAACATGATAAAGGAAAAATCTCATTTTGGAAAAGGGAAAATTAAGCACTTTTTAAAACCACTCAATGAAAAAAGCACCTTTAAGGGCTTTTAAAAAACGAAAATAAAAAATAAGCACTTTTTAGAAACGCTATGCACACTGTTCATTCTCTTGTACTTAGTACATAGATTTTTACCCTACACGAACAACTGTCTTTAATTTTTCAGCTGAAATTTGAGAACTTAGGTCCTTAGTAAAATTAGTTTGACAGATATAACTAATTAATTGGGAACATTATCTGCAATTGGAAATATTATTACAGTTTTGTTAGTAAATCTAGCGGAAACCAGTACTTCGATCAAATTTTGCTTCAGTTGCGTAAGGGTCTTATTGTCAAACTTTAGAATAAACTTGATCAACTATAGAATGAAGAGTGTACCTGATGTGGAGGTGTTGATGAATGATGGGGAGCAGATAGATGAGGAGCAAGTTGAGGCTGACTCCTAATAGGATAACCAGCAGATATGCTTCCAGTCTGAAATGAGTCAATGAATAATATATGTGAGGCAAGTCAGAATTAAACTGATATAAATTGAAAATGAATGAAATATTGGAAAATTAATTTTAATGTTCAACCTACATTAATTTTAACATTTCAGGAAAATAATTCTCTAAATATTACCTGCTGTATGTAGTATTTCTCCTCTTGTAAGTTACTTGCTTTTTGAGAAGGATGATCAATTTGAGGTGGTAATCCTCCAACATAACCTAAATTGTAAAACAACAATCATTATTTGATAGCATATGATGACCAAGAACCAAAAATAAAAACCAAGAAGGGACCAAACAAAATAATAAAAGAAATAGAAAAAGTAAACTCATGCTACAACATAGTAAAAAATGTGGTGTTAATGTTAAAACCAGTATGTATATATTATATATTTATTATATATATCGAAAGTGAATTAAAAAAAACTACTGCAAATTGCTGTGGTCATCTTGATACCATATCTTGTGGTATGATTGAAAAGTCTCGTATTTTTCAATCAGCCTGACATTTTTTAAACTTATTGCAATGACCTAGATACTTATAGACTAATTTGAAAGCACATTATTCATAGCTCAGTTATCCTGATTAATAGTATTTATTAAGTATTTTCTAATAAGCTTAGAGGCACTTGAGTGGATTGCAAAAAGCATATAAAAAACAGCCTAACTATAAAATGCTTGAGATATTTCCAATTAGCCTGGAGCATTCTAATGAACAGGATTTTTCAATTACTACGGCACTTATAAATTTATGTATTAACCTAAGAAAAATATGAAGCTTTATAAAAAGAAAAGTTGTTTTCAGCTACAAATCTCTAATAATACTTTATTATTCTGTTTTATTAAAAATTACTAACATCTTTACTCTAAAAATAGAAAAATATCAGGAATTTTTTTGAAAGGAAGAAATTTTTTTTTCCTTTGAAATCTTAACAATAGACTAAGGTAGACAAATGCCAGACTCAATAAATGGCAAAACTTTAATTAAACTTAGTAATAATTCTAAAACTACAGTAAATAAAAAATGCGAAGATCAACCAAAATTGTCCCCCTTAAAGTATACAAAACTAAAATTTATTTTTTATTATTAAAGATATGTTAGTAGATAATTGAAAAATCATGGGTACAATATCAAGCATTTTTTAAAAAAAAAAATTTAAACAAATCCAATCTTGATGAAAAGAAATAATAAATTGTTAGCTTCTGCAATAATTCTGTTCTTAAAAATGCTTAAAATAATATTTGATACAAATTGCGTATAATTTTTAGTGAGTCAAAGATAAGTCATTTGAAGCCAATATAAAGTTATAGTGCATTAATAATTAAAATTTTGCAGTTTGTTAATTATTGTTAAAGCCTTATAAGTTTATTAAAGCTTTATAAGCATAATTTTTACTTTTTAAGTGCTTTATTTCCAATATGACATTAAAGGTTTAGGATGTGATGAAGATTTAATATTATCATGCTTTTATAAATGACTTAATGAACAGATAAAAATAGACTAAAATATTTTCAAGTATATTTAGAAGTAAGATATAATTAAATAATAAACAAAGTAGCTTCCAAATGTTCTCAAAAAATGGAAATACTTATAACTGAGATTAAAAAACAAAGTAACATGTATAAAACATAAGTGACTTGTATAAAAAATAAATCAAGTAAGTAATCATAATCACACAGTAGCTTAGGGTTAAAACACAGATAAGCACACATTTAAAACCTATTTATGAAATCTATAATAAATTTTTTACATTAAAAATTATAACAAAAAACTTATTTGCAACAGTACTATTTGCAGCTTTTATCTTAAACTTTAATTTTTGAATAGATACTTGGTAATAATTTCTCCATACTTCAAATAAAAGCTTGAGAGTTTAAAAAGTAATTTATATTTTATTCTGAATAGTTTCAAAACTTCATAATTCTAAATTATATTTTTAAAAACTTTTTTTTCAATTTAGTGGTTCAATTTCCTTTTCAAAGGACGATTGAACCACTAACTCCAGAATGCTAGAGAATTACAAAAATTCAATTAATTATAAAAGAGATATTCAGAAAATGGTGTTCAAACTAAGAAATATTACGCAAACAATTTTCTAAAGATTATGTACATTACTTGTTTGAGGTAAATGAGAGACATGGTAGTTTGCTGCAGCCAAATGTTTAGCTTGTTCCTGAGAGGGATATTGTCCCGATGGGTGTGGAATGGAGTATGCTAAAATGGAAACATTCATAAATGTAAACAAAGCAAATCAAACATTTAAAATTTTAAAGAAAGTTAATTGTGAGAAATTTTTTGTAATGCACAAGATGTATAAAAAATAACGTACAAGATTATGTAAGTATACATTTGGCCATTTTATTTTTAAAAAAAATAAATTTATATAATTAAATAACTAAATAGGGAGAAAATAATTAAAATGAAAGACTTAATTGATCCTTTAAAAAAATTTTTTGAAATAAAATGGGTAAGATATTTTTTTATTATTTTAAAGAGACTTTGAATACAGTGAGATGAATGTTTTGAATATAGTAATAGATCTACAGGTATTAGATTACTGTTCATATAATTCATTATAATGAAAGAGGGTCAAAGAAAAAAATCAGGACATTTTTCCGAACAGTAGACATATACTATACTACTTTTTAAAAAAATCGAACTAAAAAGTATAATTTTTCCTAATTAATTAAAATACAAACTTTTCAGCAAAATAATAAAAAATATACTATTTTTAATTTTAGAATTACTAAATATAATGAAATTATATATTCACCAAGATATGTTTGTTTTATTACACATTCTATGCACATAATTTGCTATTTAAAAAGTTGGAAATTGAAATAAAATTTTTAATAAGCAAGCAAATTAAGAATTGTTTATTTAACAAAGTTATCAAAAAATTAAACTAAAATATAAAGTTAAATATTTGTAAGCTTGTAAAAAATAATGAGATAATTTTTAAATTTAAAATACAAAAATTGAAGGGTTAAATTCTTTTTTAATACCTTGAATGTTGTTTTTCTACAGCTATTTTTGTGTGCGATTATAAAAATATTGCTATTTGTAGTCTTGTTTGCACTTACTTGAATTGTGAATTGTAATTTGAAGTAAAAATTAAACTTCATCTTACAAAAGTTTTACATTTTAATAAATTAAGATTTTTTTTTTACCAATTGGGTTATGCAGCTTTCTATGGCTTAAATTGCACTTGTAATAAGAATTGGATTATAAAGAAAAAATTTAAATAGTATAATAGAACAGTTTTAAATTTTAATTAAAAAAATAAAATTTTTCCCCTTATTGTCTTTTTAACTTATTTGCACAGAAATGAAGCAAAAAAAAAGTACATACTTTGACCATAAGCAGTAACATGAGCTTTATAATTATATCCTTGAGAATAATTTGAGGTAGGAGGAGGAGATGGACTTCTTGGTCTTTTAACAGCACCCTAAAAATAAAAACATTTTTGAATTATACCAGAATGTATAAAAATATCAGAAAGCTGTTTACAAAACATTATACATGATCACATTATGTATTTAAATCTAGAAAATTAAATAATTTTAATTTTAAACTTGTGATTTTGTGGTAGATACATACTTAAGATTTAGAATATGCCACTAAAAGTTTGCATATGTACATATTAATGTCTATTTAAATGATATGAAACAAGTAATGCCCTGGCTTCAAAACTATGAATATGGTAATCAAAGTCTAATAAAAGACTTTGAAGCCAAGAAAGTTTCTAATGAAGCATATTTTACTGCTCCTGTTTCTTGGGATTGCTGTTATATGTTGCTTATAATCAATCACTCGATATAAAACATCTATTTATAGTAAAGTATCAAGTTATGAGCACATATTTGTGTTATTTGATATACTCATGATTTAACAATCTCAAAACAACTTACACCTGCTTTAATTAGGCCGGCAAGTTCTCATATTGAATGTATAAACTGCCTGAAATATAAACTACCTGAAAATTATAAACTATCAACATTTTATTCTTTTATATAAAAAAAAGACAACTTTGTCGATTAGCTATGGTAGAGGCTTCAAAAGTTATTAAAGTTGTAGCAACCCTAATAGAATTATTCATGGCCCAACAATGCTGCTTTATATTCAAATATTACTATATTAATATCACTATATTTTAATATTACTCTAAATATTAAAAATAACAGAAAAATAAAATACTACTCACATTTACATTTTGTTGCATTTGAGGAGCATTACCCACTTTATACATTCCAGAATTTCTGTTCATTACTCTATTTCCTCCTGTAAATCAGAAACATTATTGCTTCATTAATGTTACTTATCTACTGTAACAAAGTTCATTAAATATAATATTGTTTATATTATAGTTATCATATAGTTTATGTTATATTCATTACATTAAAATTGTTGAACTTACCTAATAAATATAGGTTAGCTGCTCCAACAGGCACATTTTGATTTTGATAGGGATTATTTACTTGCACAATTTCACTAGAAAGAAGATGATAAAGATCAGATTAATAAAGGAAAATAACATGGTAAAAAAAAGCTTATTTGTGTATAAATTTTTTTTACATGTAGAAATTAAATTTACTTAAAGCTTTACAAGAATACTAAGATGCATTATGTATTAATTTAACCTTAAAATATTTATATTGCTTTATCATCAATACTGTCAGGATTTGAAATTTCAGTTTTAAAGATGCTAACAATACCAAAATTTTTGCTTGACACTATTTTACAATCATAAAAATAGGAACAATTTTAGAAATGTTAACAGATGTAGTATGAAAAACTTCTCGGCTGTGGTATAAAACCATAAATGAATATAGAAAATTAAAAATCAAAACACATTTAATGCAACAATAATAATATTTAAAAAAAATCTAATATTAATTGAGTAATAATCTTATTTGAAATTTCAAATTATTCTTTTTAAGCCTTCAATGTTTTCAGAATCACAGGTTTTGTAGGTTAAAAGCGGACGAGTCAGCATTTTTTGTTCGAAATAGAAGGGAAAAAAATGCTGCTTGATTTTAAAACATTTCAACAAGACACTTCATAGTCAACTTTTTCTAAGAGGAAAATTAATCACCAGTTTTAAATATTAGATCATTAATGACAAGTGGAAATTTCGCACCCTGACAACACAATATACATATTAAATGCAGTACAGAACCCGTTATCCGGAAATCAGAAAACCGAAAAACCAAAAATCCGGAACGAAATTCGATAAATTCTCCCGCCATTTAAAAAAAAAAAAACACATTTTTTTTTCCTCATAAGATTTTAGGATTTTTCTTTCTTTTTTGAAAGATGTTTACCTTACCATCATTTTGGAAATAATCATTAGTGTATTACTTCATCATTTTTTCTTCTTTTTAAGATTATTTTCAACTATTTTTTTGTTTTTTCTTCAGTTAGGTTTAACAATAAAAAAACGGCTTTTTGTATCGATTCAGAAAACCGGAAAAATCAGTTATCCGGAATAGCGATGGTCCGGATCATTCCGGATAATAGGTTCCCTACTGTATTTTTATTGTTTATGCATTGTATTGCATACCTTTTAAAATGTGCGGGTCATTTCAGATAAGTAAAAAGCACTAAGAAAAATATAAAAATTTTAATTGCAACCATAGTTTTAATAGATAATCATTTTCAAATGATTTAACAAATTAGCTGATTTACATTTTGAAAGCACTAAAAATTCCAGATTTATTTACAGATTACAACCATCTCAAAATAATTGTATCTTTACATCAAGATAACTGAAAACAATTAGGCAGATACATAATGAATGTGAAAAGGTACTCTGTATCAATATTTAAGAAGATCAACTATCTCACAAATTGGAGACGAATAGAAAGTGCTGCTTTCAAAATTGTTAGGGTAAGACAAATTGTAAACCACATAGACCCAGACTTTGAGTGAATTATACTATATATTGTCAAAAAATAAGTCTTTAATTGGCATCATGCCTTTAAAATATAGATAAGGAGACAATAGCCTTAAAATCTACTGAATAATAATAGCCTCATACTTAGCCTCTTTAATTTCTTCATTTCGTCTAACTTCATCATCATTTAAAACTCTTTTCAATGACAGAAATAACTCATGTTTCATATTTTTGAAACAAAGCAACCTCTTCTCATATTCAGTAATCTAAAATAGAAAGGAAAAATGATAACACAAAATTTATTTTAATAAAATTTACAATTTCTATGAACGAATGATCAGTGATTCTGCTTTTATACAGAAGGGAAAATATCAAAATTTAGCAAAGGTAAAATATAATTTTATTTTTATTATTATATAAACTATGAGGAAATTTCTTATTTTTCCGATGGAGTGAAAAAACTGACAAATATGTTAAGACTACCAAAGGGCAATTTATAAAGCTTGTTTTATACAGAAAAAAAATAAAAAAANTAAATGTTTATCGAATTTTACATAACAAAACATAAATTCCTTTCAACCAAGTTAAATTTTTTAAATTTAAAAATAAATGTTCTTTGTAAAATTGCATAATTAATTGGTGATTTGTAAATCACAGTGTTTGAAAACTAAAACTGATCTACGATTTTCAAGGAGAGACATAGATTAGAAGTTTTTTCTAATAAATTTCATTAATTGATTCATAATATAATATACTCATAATTTCATAAATTTATTCATTATTTTGTATTATTGAAAAAAAAATTGAGGGTGATACAGCAGCTATTGCACCAAAAATATCAAAGGCATAATGAAGATTAAATAAATGAGAATAACCTGTTCTTTAATTCCTTCTAGAGTCATAGCATTCTGTTTTCTCTCTTTTTCTTGTTCCCGTCTCAGTTGTTCAACAACAGCATCTGCTTCCAATTCTGGAATTGAAATTTCAAATTTTAGAGCATTATTTTCTTGTTAAAAGATATATGTAATACAAATTTTCAAGCATGATTTCATTAATATCATTATTTCTTGTGAATGTTGGATTTGAGTAAAATGTACCAGTGCAGGGTTGGAGTTTTTGCCGGCAAAAAGGGGTTTTTGCCAGGGCAGTGGTAAAAACCAAATTATCTAAATTGCTGATTAAATATTATTACAAAATACTTGAAACAAATTTAAATCAATCATAAGGAATAATAATTTTGATACATTACATGAAAAAATTATTTTTAACATATTAATAATTAATATAAAGGCAATAATTTTTAAAACATTGAAAGTTTTTGACCTCTTTTCATTTTAGAATCCTTAAATAAATGTTTTTTTACAAATAAATATTATTATTTGTATAATATTATTATATTATAAAAATTTATTATTTGTACAATAATTAACTACACATCTTGATAGATATTTTATGCTTTAAATTATAGTTATATTAATTTAAAATAAGTTCATTTCACTGGAAAAAAGAGAATAATAGCAAATTTTCCAATCAATAATGTTTTAAACTACTAAAATGATATATTATTAAATTATGATTTAATTATGAAATAATAATTTTGTTAATTTTTTTGTAATAATTTATATTTATAGTATATATTTCAATTTTAGGAATAATTTTGTACCAAAAATGTGTTTTTGTCCTCTCATCTTGGAAATTATAGGTTTTTGCCATTTTTTGCCAATTTGCTTGGCAAATACCTGTTTTTGCCAGGACGGTTTTTACCGGTATTTACCATGGTTTTTTCCACCAGCAGCAAAATCTTGCCAACCCTGTACCAGTGTAATAAAAACTATTAATTTTACCAACTATCAGGTTACCAGCCTTTTTATGCTGAATTTTATAATTACTTTCCATCAAAATTAAGTTAAAAGTTTAAAGTTCTAAAAGCATAATAATATTTAATAAAGGGTGACATTTCAAAATAATAATTTTAAAGATCTTTATCTTACAAAATAATGCACCAAAAAAAAAAAAAATGCAAATAAATCTTTCTTATGAAATAGTGATCCTTTTTAGAACATTTTTTAAATAAAGGTTGTGTAACATTGAAATCATAAAAGAAATTAAGTATAGCTAAAACATTTTTCCTAAGTTGCTCCTGGTAAAAAATAATGAAATGAATAAATTTAACCAAGCTAAACAATTTTTTGCTAGTTATTCAATCATATAATAAAATCCTTTATTTTAGAGCAGTAAATGTACTACCCTAAAAAAATTCTTCGTCCCAATCAAGGAGGACAATTTCAACTGACGGACAAATACAAAAATTTATAAAGACATTGTTGGAATAAAATTTACAAAATTGAACAGAATAAAATTTGCTGCTAGATACAACTAACTCATCATGTAAGTCCAAAACTTCAATGACTAGTCTACATTAACATGGATTTTAAAACCATCAGAGAAGTGAATTGGCAATAAAGAAAATTTTTTCAGAAAACACTAAGGCCAATCCCGGACTGACATATTAGATGATGATTTTTTAGTTAATATTTAAATTTTTAGAAAAAGATTTTAAAAAAATGGCAGAATTTGAAGAATTTAGGAGATGCTACAAAAATTAGGAATACTATCACAAACTAGTTTTTCATTTACGTGAATCGAAGTTACAATTAAAATACAGTGTAACGTCTCATATCCGGATGTCCCTTTCCCGGAAGGGTCGATTTGCCGGACACTTTTTAACAATCAAAATAAACAAACATCTCTCCATCATCCACTTTCCTTAAAAAAAAAAAGTCTTTTGACACATTTTCTCTTTTCGGCATCGAACCCATAAATCACCAGAAAGGGGAAGTGAAGATCTACCAAGACCATTGAGTGACCGTTAGTGACGCTCCTCCCTTGGAATGTAGGAAAAGAGGGAGATTTGTTTTCAAAAGACCGCAACTGAGTCCCCTGCCTTCCTTTCCCATGCAGGTGGCTAGTAAAAGAGGCTTTTCCTGGAACCTTTTTATTGAAAGAAGAAATACTGTGGAAAAGGGTAAACAGGGCAAGCGTTAAGGTGGAGGGGGAGTCAAAATGGAAAATTTGAATAGGTCTAAAAGGATATACGTCCTTGAGAAACAAAACATTCATTCTTCCCCATACCATGTAATATTTAGGAGGCGGGGGAAAAAGGGGGTAACATTCTCTCTTTAGCAGACTCTTTCAGTCATAGAAGAAAAAATAAAGAGAGCCCGATCAGCGTGCCCCGCCTTTATGCTTGATTGATAGCCAATGATTGGAGAGAAAACAATAACATGTTACTTCCCCACCCTCAACTTAAATGATCTCATCTTTACACTTATTTTCTTTCACAAATAAGGAGGAAATGAATTTTTCTCCTCAACCTACCCACTTTAATGAATGACGGGAATTTCTCTTTTCTTGCTTGAATCATTCTAGTTAAAAATAGCGGATTATTATTTTCATATGTCAATTTTTTTTCGTTTTCTATATTTTAAGCAATAATATTTTTTTTTCTAATATTTCATATTTTATTGATTAGATATTCTAATACTAAAACATTATTCCCCTTAAAAATAATGTTTATTTATTTTTTGCTTCTTAGATTTAGATCATTTTAAGCTTTGTTCCAGAATGACATGGATTTCCCCTTCCTGCTTGAATTGTTCTAGTTCAAAATGGCGGATTAATATTTTCATAACTGTTAAATTTTTTTCGTTTTCTATATTTTCAGCAATAATGTTTTTTTCTAATATTTTATATTTGGTTTAGATATTCTAATGTTAAAACATTGTTCCCCTCAAAAATAACATTTATTTATTTTTTGCTTCTTAGATTCAGATCGTTCATTAAATCATTTTAAGCTTTGTTTACCTTGGGGGGTCTATTATACGGAAAAATCTATTATACGGACTTCTGGAAGTCCCACCGATTCCGGATACGCGACTTTACACTGTATATATATATATATATATATATACGATTTCTTTAAAGAAAATTAAAGACAACTAAAAATATTGCTTCAGGCATATTTTTTATTGACGGTTAATATCAAAATAACTGTTTTTATTTTATTTCCTGGACTGAAATTTGCACTAGACATTTCAAACTCTTAAAAATGGTTAAGTAACCATTAGATCACAATTTAAAAGATTACACCCAGGTCAGAATAGGTGGTCCTGTCTCTCCCTTCATTCAAGATGTTTCATGTTTATTGAGCAGAATCGAATATTTTTTTGTTTGTTTTTGTTTACATTCAGGTAACCACACATAATTTAATGTTTCATTTCTAACGACATATAGAATAAATATATTTATTACTTAATGTACAATGTTACAGTTTTGAATAAAAACATTGCAGCATATAACCAACACAGAAACTTTATCTAAATATTTAAAAAAAATATGTATAATGAGTACATGTATACCTTAATAGATATAATTTAAAATTAATTTACACCTTAATTTAACTGTATGATCGATGTTTTTATTTTTCACACACTTTGAAACAAAATAAAAGTAAGTATATCTAAATAGGCACTATTTTATAAAAATAAAAAATATTGTTTTCACAAAGATAAGTAAGGCTATGAGAATATTTTTATAGCGTGATCTGCACCAAAACAATTACTAAGTGTTCAGTGGCTCACAAGAAACAAAAGCAAACTAACAAAAAAATCATACAAGAGAAACAACTCGAAGCCACCTATATAATTTTTTTCAAGCAATTTCAAGATTAAAATTCCTTTGGCACCTTGGTGATTATAGCTGGTGCGACAAATCATGATATGGAAATATCCCCTAGGTTATTGATTGTCATTTAAAATTTAGTAACTGTTTGAATATCAGTAAAGAAAAACCAACTATATACCTTGTTTTTTCTTTTCTCTTTGCTTCATGATGTGAGATTTAAGAGCAGCCCACATAGCAAGACTCATTTTTGGACGTTCTATCAAAGCAGGCATTATATACAGAAGCTAAAACAAAGTTTAATAGTTTTGGAGAATATATAATCAAGGCTAAAATAATAAGTTCAGCAGAATAAGAATTCCAACATATTGTACAGCATTTATACTAAATGAATCAAAGAATTTAGTTCAACAATATTTTATATGCTATATTTATATCAACAAAGAAAAATATTATTCAGTATAAGGAATTTAAGAACATCTGATATGTTTATTTTCATACGAGTCTTCATTCTACAAAGTGTCAGCAAAGAAAACATGAAATTTTAATTTAAACAATAAGACACAAGGTTAAACAAAACAAATTTAAGTCAAATATGAAAATTCCAATTTTAGAAATTAAATAAAATTCAAATTACTGATGTGGTAACTTAATTCGAAGGCAGTGATCTATTTAGTTTAAGACATTGATTTCAAATTCTACAGGCGAACATTTCTTATACTTAAACAACCAACAGCCTCAAATGTACATAATCTAAGCAAGATACAAATCAAAACTTACACCAGATATTTGAGTAATAATTTCGTGGCGTAGCAAGTTTAGAAATTAGTCGTAAAATCTTGACAGCAACACTCGATGCAAAAGCATCAACAAAACAAAACATTAATTAAATGACTTTATACGTTTTTCTAGAATCATCTGAATAATCGAATTAAATTGCTCTTCCTCATGATACGATATGACACCTAGACTTTACAAACGTATCAACTGGGAAAACCGGTTGTAAAAATGCATTCAGTATAAATGATTTCCACTTCGTATTAAATGGACGGCCAGAGTGCGTAGTTGGTCGAGCGAAATGTCTTATGTGTGACGTCAAAGTTCATCTCACCAATGAAACATGACGTGAAAGGGCATCCCTACGGTGATTCTTTACCTGGAAGAAAACTGATTCTGTTTACAAATTGGCTGATCAAATATTTTATTCTCATGTCAAACACCTTTTTCTTTATTTGAAATTAATGTAATAAATGTTTATCGAATTTTACATAATGCAATTGACAATGAATGCCGTACAAGTACATAAATCATTTAACATGTCTTTCGTTACTGATCTACCTTACAATATTTTCACGTATTCGAGTCTCTTTACAACTTAAAACAGCATATGTTTCAGGACCAGATTGTTTCGTGAGTCTTTTTATTCAACAGTAATGTGTGTAATTATATTTTGCGCTTTCTTTAATTTTAAATGCATCATCAACGTTGATAAAAAAAATTTTTATCCCATAAATGATCATTTTTACGGTGACAAATTTGTTTTCAACTCAGTTATTTATAAAGAAAATGCTAAATGTTGAAACCATATTTCATTAAAAAGTAATTGTTTTTTTTTCCTTCTCTTATTAGAAAATCCCTAAACGTACATTTTCAAGTTTTTAAAAAAATTATTCTCACCATAAGTTGATATAAAATCAAATTCTGTTAAAACAAGGAGAAGCCAGTGTTTTTATCTTGCTTTTAGTCTCATATAAATTGTTAAGTAAATTTTTTTTTTTCAATTTTTTACCATTCATTTAAAAATAATGAACTGAAAAAAAAGGGTTTTTTTTACACATAAAAATGTTACATAAAATGAAATTCAGTTAAAAAGAAGTGAGTGTTTTTTTGTTCTATGATATATAATTTATGTGCCTATTTTGTCACAATTTTTTGCATTAATTGTATAATGTTTGATAAAACAGTTATTTTTATTACTTTTATGATGTATATATCAAATTGATCCAATTATTATTATTAAAATTTTATTAATCATTGGACTAACTTTTGGTGATGCTGAAAGTTTACTTTAGGGTAACTATTTATTTTGGCAATTTTTTATATTCTTACGGAAAACATTTAAAAAAAAAACAACTTAAAATTGAGATTTTCTAATAATAAGTAATTGTGTTTAAAATAATAGGGAAATAGATGGTACTGAAGAAGATTGAAGTACTAAATTCGAGAACCACCCTAATACACTCTAACCTTAGTGCCCTTTGCATATAATTCTTTTACTATGTTGAAAAAATAATTTTTTTTTTGTCTGATACCTGCTGGAAATAATCAAAACAATACACTCTCTAAAAAATGTTAAAAAGTAGAAATTTTAAAACATCTTCTGAGTTTTTGTGTCACTAGTAGCAATAAATTTTTTTTATATTTATCGTTAATGGTTTTTCAAGGAAATAAAATGATTTTATTATCACTCCTATGAAATTGAAAATACATTGAATTTGAATAATTAATTTGCAAAATGATGATAATTCTAAAAATTTGAATATTGTTGATTCTCACTGATTGCAAGATAGTGCAATAATTGTTATGAACCGTGGTTAAAAATTTGTATTGAATTTCAAACATTATGAAGATATACCTACTAAATGTAATTACAGATTTTCTATTGAAGTTTTTTGAATTGCACAAGGCTTTTGCGCATTCACTAACTGCTGAAACAAGAAGTCTTTAATAACTATGTAGCAGGCTGATGAAGTGTCTTAAGCATTTTAATTTTGTTGATTTTAAGAACTGCCTAAATATCATTAAAAGGCTCTAAAAAGAGGACAAAAAATGTTATTGTATATCTCCGAATCTAAGTCCATCAGTATTTAAGCTAATGAGTATTATATATATATTTTTTAAACCTACCCCTTAATTCATGACTTATGTAAAAGCAAACTATAAAAAATACTGCATGCTATGCTTCGAAACAAAAATGTACCTCCTCCCTTGTTGTAACAGTTGCACTGTGGATAAAAGGATTTCCTAATTAGAAAATACTAGTAATCCTTTTAAATTGTATTTTTTTGTGTGTTTCTTCTTTAATCTTTATATTTAAGCACTTCGATTTCAACTGTCATCATATATTTTTTATGTTTTGATTTTTTTGTATCTCGTATCTTTGTTATGTTTCGCTGATTATGGATAATGCTCAACAAAAAGAAAAATATTTCTATTGTCGTTGTCCTCTTCAAATTTTTCAAAGTTAGTAGATTCAATTATAACCCCCCTTCCCAATTTAACTAAAGTTTTCTAAAAATTCTCGGCTTTTAATTGGTTCTAAGTTATCTTTGTGTACTGTTAAAATACGTAAAGTCGACTCTAAAATATTGATTTTTAGAAAAATTGTGCATATTAAACTAAAATTAAGTTATTTTTAGCCAAAAAATATACACAAAATGCTTTTAATTGGTTATAAGTTATCTTTGTGTACTGTAAAAATATGTAAAGTCAACTCTAAAATATTGATTTTTAGAAAAATTGTGCATATTAAACTAAAATTAAGTTATTTTTAGCCAAAAAATATACACAAAATGCTTTTAATTGGTTATAAGTTGTCTTTGTGTACAGTTAAAATACGTAAAGTCGAGTCTAAAATATTGATTTTTAGAAAAATTGTGCATGGTAAACTAAAATTAAGTTGTTTTTAGCCAAAAATTATACACAAAATGCTTTTAATTGGTTATAAGTTATCTTTGTCTACTGTTAAAATACGTAAAGTCGACTCTAAAATATTGATTTTTAGAAAAATTGTGCATATTAAACTAAAATTAAGTTATTTTTAGCCAAAAAATATACACAAAATGCTTCTATTCATCTAGAGGGCATTTTTCTTGCTGTACAGCAGTGTTTCCCAAAGTGTGGTATGCGTACCCCCAGGGGTACGGGAACAGTTGAGCAGGGGTACGCGTTCTTATGCGAAATATCTTGCAACAAGCGAACATTTCAAATATTTTATTTAAAAACAAAGCTAGCCATGAAAATTTACCATTACACATTTTTCTATTGGCTATTTTTTGCAGAGATAAAGTTAATAATTAGTGGTGTCAACAGCCAGTTGTGATTTTTAACGATTGGGCAACTTTTTTATAATAAAAATTGCATTAATTTTTTTATAAGTGGTACACTGCATTACGAAAAATTTGGAAAGGGTACTCAAAAGTCATAAGTTTGGGAAACACTGCTGTACAGTATTGTTAACTAATTATAAAAAATTAAATAAACATTACTTTTCTGATGAATTGAGACATATAAGTATTTATTTTATTTGAAATAGATGATGTCTTCATACAAGGAACATTTAGATATGAAAATTTTGGATGATGAAGATGATCTAAGTGATGATGAAGTATTCACTCAAGGAGGCAAATCTATTCCTCTGGAAGAGAATGGGGTCAACAAGCCTCTAATGGCACCTAGGATGCGTAATAAAGACACACTGCATACAAAAGTTCGAAAAGTTCCATCTTTGAGAGTACTATGGGCACCTATCCTTTACTTTTGTGTTGTCTTGTCATCTGTTATTAGTAAGCATTTAATTTCTTATATTTTTACGTTATAATATTTTAATAAAATACAAAGGGTTTACAAATTATGATACGAGCAACATCTAAAAAATTACATCTGACCCCCAAAGTATTAGTAAAGTCAAATATAAAAGCAAAAAGTCATTATTCTACAACTGAAATGCATAATATACAAGGATGCTGTTTGTGGAAAATTTGTCACCTTTGTAGAAAATTTCTTAATATCACTCATTATAAACAAAATATAGTTAAAATTCTGATTTTATCTCACAAATAGTATTTTTCAACTTCGCAGAAAATATTTCAGTATTACTCGTTTAATAAATAAAAGCAAAACTATCAAAATTCCCCAATCCAAACCCGAAGGTCAGTCTTGCAGGGAGAATTTTTTCTCTGCTGCTATGTAATATTGTTTTGGTCTTTGTAAACATACCAGTGAATGTGTGCATCAACTAGTATTATTTTTTAGTTGCTGATCCTTTGGGCCCATGACTAAATTTACCCAATATCTACCCCTTTTAATAATCCTAAATAATATCTTACTAAATTCATAGCATTAGTAATTTTCAAGATCTAAATTATATGATACTATTTCCATATACTGACAAAAGAAAAAAAGAAAATGCTCTTCATACAATTTCATTATGCAGTATATAAGCTACAATTTCTCCATTTTTACGTTATTTTACGCACTTTGAAATATATTCATACATACTTAAATATTGTGCCCTATTCTGGATCCCTAATTTGTCTATAATAATTTCTTTTGATACGGTACTATAGTATGTTATAATAGAAAACCTAAATATTGGTACTAGATATAAGAATTGTATCTAATATCTGTCATTTACATATTCGTATCAATTTGCATTGCTTTAAATAACATTTGCCATTTGTTTTTAATAGTTAATCTACTTACTTACTTATCCTCTTTGTGCCAACCTGGCACATAAGGAGTTGAGTCTTTTTCTCCCCACACTCCTGTCTTTAGCCAAGCAACGTGCTTCTTTCCATCCAGTTAATCCTCCTGCTCTACTAAGAACTTGCTTAATGCCTCTTTGCCATGTTAGTCTCTGTCTCCCTCTTTTTCTCTTTCTGTTAGGCGCTCATGACCTAGAACATTTTCAGAATTGTTAATCTGTGTGAATATTTAACATAGGTAGGAGTAGTTAATCTATGTGAATATTTAACATAAGCTGGTTTCAAATTTTTTCTTTGTTGAGATTCTGTGTGTGACTAATCCCCTCACTGTCTAGCAGCAGCTAGACATTATCCAGGAGTCCATACACTCTCAAAAACTCTGGGGCAAGCAAGGGGTTCGTCATGAAAGTCTCCTTCGAAATGGGAAGACAAGCAAGCCAGAATGTACTCCTGAGATGCACTTTCGACTCCGCACTTTGCACAAACCGGAAAAATCCTGTTGCCATTGCAAAAGAAGTCACTACTCAGGTCTCAGCTGGCAAATCTCGACAGTGCCGTCTGGTCGGCTCTATCTCAGGGAAGGCCAATGGAGCCCCAGGACATCTCCGCCAATACCAATCATGGGATGAAGGGACACTCCAAGACTTTAAGTCATTGTTTTTCCTGAAGGAGTGAAGCTCGTCGAAAGTCAATGAGGCAACTGAATACAATGGCTCAACTGAGCCCTGCTTTGCCAAGATGTCAGCGACCTCATTTCCGTAAATCCCCACATGCAAGGGAATCCATTGAAGGTGCACTTCGTGAACCACAGCAGTCTGTCTAAGTAATTTCAAAATAGCGATGCTAGTGCGGTCACCAACATTGAACCAGTCCTTGAAGTGCTGCAAGGAACTCTTACTATCAGACAAAATCCATACCGCTCCATTATTAGTTTCTTTCAAAATGGCCTCAAGACCGACCTCAATAGTCAACAGTTTGCTTCTAAACACTGAGCAATTGTCCGGGTTTCTATTGAAACCCGGACAATTGAGTTGAGATTCTATTAATGCTCAAAACTTATTAAAAGCATCAAAAGTGTCATCCTCTTACCTTGTTTGTATTTATATATTTATTTTTATTTTAAGGATTTAAATTATTGGTTTATTCGTTGAAACAAAATTTTATTGTCACTGATTTAAGCTATCAATATTCTATTTATAGAGACAAGAGTTAAAAGGAGAAAAAATTTTTTTTTATCATAATACTTCGATTTTTGCTCTAAATAATAGTTTGCTTGTTGAAAACTTTTGTTTAGCTGGTTGTTTTATAGCATATCATTTATGTATTTATAATTTTTATAGGTCTTATATTTCTTGTGGTATTTATCATTAACATTTTTATGAAAAATATTGCACCATCTGGTCACCACAGTCACGGTTTAAAAGCTTCAAATATTTTACCTTGTTCGAAGATAAGTTCAGAAGATGTTTGGGTAAAAACTTTTCCAATGCTGACTACGGAAACAGCTGTAAGATTGAATGATATAAACGGAGATGGTATTGAGGATATCATCCTTGGATTTGGAACAGGTAAAGATTGGCTTGGAATTAATCTTTTACTTACTTTCCTTCATTAAACTAGTTAATCCTGTGGATTCATATTAGAGGAACATATATATATATATTTTCAGGGGTCTGTCCAGACATTTTGTGAAATTGTGAAANTTTGGAACAGGTAAAGATTGGCTTGGAATTAATCTTTTACTTACTTTCCTTCATTAAACTAGTTAATCCTGTGGATTCATATTAGAGGAACATATATATATATATATTCAGGGGTCTGTCCAGACATTTTGTCAAATTGTGAAAAAACTACTCATAATTTGTGAATATAAAATAAATGTTAAGTCACATTTTTTCAACCAGGATCCTGCTTTTGTGAATTTGTACAAATAGGGTCCTGTTATTGCCAAAATTGCTAAAAACCTTTTCAAGAAGTTTTTAAATTGTAACTAGATACAAGATTCTGCTCAACAATTGCTGCTACTAAATTAGAGATGCAACATGCTAATATTTGGTATCTAGCCTATACTGCTCAACACAGAATATTCATTTCAAATAAATAATGGAAACAAAATCACTCACATTTTTAATAATTTCAATTGACATATTTTAAATAACACAACTTAGTAATGTATCACTTTTAATGTGTTACACATTAAGTAAACTTAAACAATTCTTAAATTTATAATATTTTATTTAAAAAATTGCCTGAAATTAATTTTTATTTACATAATATTCTATTAATTAATTTTATGAATATTT